TATATATATATATATATATATAGGCCTACATATTGGATATGGTTTTAAAATACTTGAGATCTTTTGAATTTATGGGAAGATTTTCATTGAAAGCGTTTCATCAGAGCATTTTTTAAACTTCCAAAGTTGGTAGTCTGACAAACGTTTCTGAAAGGTGAGTACAGTTGTAAGTAATTGAACCATGGTCGTACGTTTCTGCTTTTTTGGAACTTGTGCTCACAAGTTTTGTCCTATTATAGTATATCTTCAAATATCTGTTGTAATTGATAGCGAAGTCAAACACGACTATCATTCTCCCCTAATACTCCATTGTTCCTTTTATGTCTAGGTAATACCATCATCGAAAAATGGGTTTTCTTGAAGGAAAGTGCTTTTTCTGAATGTTGCATAATTTTTCCAAATCTATTACTTTTGTGTTGACATCTGCCATTCTTATTTCATATTGTTTTTACATTTCATTTCCGCAATCACCCTTGTGATCGAAATTTCAGTGGATGTGTCGCCGCGCATGTCGGTTCCGATGCCGCCAACACCATCGCCGATGTTACCGCCATCGATGCCACCAAATTCTGCCACTGGACCATTGTCGGCACCATCCGCCTTCAGCTCGTCGTCCATCACCGCTCATCGTTCATTGCAGACGATACTGGACGCAATTAGACACTTAGAAGGTGGCGCGTTAGTGCCACCAACTCCATCTCCGCCACCGCCGAGTTCTCAAGCGCCTCTAGTACGGTAATTCGCTGCCGTTTCCTTCCTCACGGCTGACTCGTAGTCAGTGTTGTCGTGTGCGCGATTGCAATTCCATCAAATAGTCTTTGTTTGTAGAAGGTTAGGTGCTAGTAAAGTACTGCGTCCCAGGCAGAATACATAACCTTAACCGCTGGTCGCGCTTCCCATTAGGGGAAAGGGCCTCGTTATATTCGATATGACATATAATTCGTATGGGCCTACGTTGAGTTATATCTTTTCAAGTTACTTCCTATCCTATGCACTGCTTATTGGTTTATGCACAATTGTCCCGTGAAGCTTCCCAAATTCTTTTGGCACCGGTTCTTGTCACATGTCATACTCGGTAGCTCTCCGGTCTTTTTGTGCTCTTCTCTCTCCTCTTATTAGTTCTATAGCGTCATTATCGGGAAGACTGTGTGCGATAGCGTTTTAATGCAAAATTTTCTAGATCCAAAATTATATTAGAGATTTTTGTTTTTCTTTGAAAATTCTAGAGCTAGAATTGGTTCTCAATTCTCTTCAGATGAATTTTTGAGAAAAAATAACGCTATCTCATGTGGCTTTGAAACGCCTGGGATTAGTTTCGTGCTTTTGATTTCTATATTGTTTGCTTATCTTCTTTTCATATAGTCTTTTTCGCCATTTACTGGATCTGCCTACATTGTGGTGAAAGCGGCTACAGTCTTTTACGGTTTTCCTTGTCCTAAACTTTTTTCAACCAATACGCGTCGCAACCGCTTTTGCCAACATTGTATACAGTCACGTCCATAGTTGTAGTTGTCCCAGGTCGCTGGAAAAGCGCTATATCTGTAATACCTTCAAATCTCTAACAAACCATCCAATACATCCTCGGAGTTGCACGTTACTTTGAGCCAAGTATGTTTAGTTAGTATGTCTATGCAAGATTTCGGTAAAATAAGCTTCACATAAGAAAAAAGGAAGTCCTCCCCTTCACCACCAAGACGAGAGTCATTGCTCCCAGCGGCCTAGAACGTCGTTGATATTCCGTAGCACAGCGCTTGTTATTCTCGTCGTCAGTTTTGGTTTTGTTTCTCGTACATGACGACTCATCTTTGATTTAATTGTTGAGTTTCGAGCAATAAGATGCGATTGGGCGTGGCATCGGAT